TTACAGTTTTTTCTTCATTTCATCAGGTGAAATCAATATGGTTCGACTTACCTCTATTTCAATCTTCTATCAACTTCATTGCTTCTGTTGTAGGTCTACCCTTCCATGATTTTTTTAGCTTCATATATCCTTTTGAAAAAATGATAATGACTACTTTATCCTATAAAAAAGCATATATGAAGTTTCTAATTTTATTAGAGTTTTTAGTTTAGAGAATTGATCATTCTTTTATTTTTCTTGTCATTATGGGTTTTACTGTGCATTAGACCGATAAAGTACTATTGGTACATAAAACATAAATGGTTATAGTCTATTTCTCTTTTAAAAGCCTATGCCTAAAATTTTGCAAAATTTATTGGCTACTAAAGTGATTGACAATAACACTTACAGCATGAAATAGACCTTCTTAGTTATGACATTTCCTTATGTTCCAATTTTTTATATTCATTGAATATGTTTCTCTTTCTTTGATGCTTAATTAATGACCTATTGTTTATAGGCTATTTTAGTAATCTAAAAGCAATGACATCAACTCTTGATTCAGAGGAATGGCTAAAGAATAGAGATTTATGCTATATTGATGATGATGGTTTCATTTTTATAGTTGATAGGTTGAAAAAGCTAATCAAATACAAATGATATTAGATGAATGAAACCCGGCTTCTTTCCCCAAAGTGGCTTTACTTTGTATTTAATCATGTAGAATTAAGGATTAAACTATCAAGTAAAATAATGCATGGTTTTTAAATGTTTATTTATATATACTTTTATTAAAATGGAAAATTAATTAATAAATATACTCTTATAGTTTTGTGGTGATTTGGCAAGTTTTTTTTACAAAATTTAAAGCATTGCTTCTTTCACACCTTGAAATTTTAGAGACTATTATTATTTTGTTAGTTTTCATTTTCATTGATATGTATGGCTTAAAATTTTGGTTTTTGTGCTGAGATTCCTTATCTCTTTTTTTTTTTTTTATTAGAGCAATATACATCTAAACTATGTTTAATAGAGGCAAAAGAAAATTATGTTTATTTAACCTTTTATTTTTTCTTCCAAAGGTAGGTGCATAATTTAATGCCCTTATCCTTGATTGGTTCCAGCCAAAAAAGTTGGGAGTTCCTATTATATATTTCCTGGAATATATTGCAAACTAGTTTGCAATATATAGCACGAACTTGCCTTGAGATGCCTTGCCTCTATTATTATGACAAGGAATTATCATTAATAGTCCTTACGGCAATAATGTTTATAAGGGAATTCCAAAGGTCTATTATTTTTTCCTGAGTACTTTGATTCTTTTTTCTTTTAAAAAAATTGGTAATTGTACTATTTCTAATTCTCACCTTTGCCATATTGGTGTTTTGTGTGGCATTATATTGGAAAAGATATTAATGCTAATAATTTTTTCACTACTATAATTAGAAATAAATCTACTATCACCAAAGGTAGCGAAAAGGTTATGGATAGTGGCCCAAATCATATCTTCATATATACTACATTGACCATGGGGGTCTTAGAGTGCTTAATTAGTATATCCATTAGTAGTTACTTTCTTATGGCTTTCAGCTTCACACATAGCTTCTTTATAGATTATTGAAGAACTTTTCCTAATTAAAACCAAATTTTGTTTTCGCTTGTTTACGAGACTTTTCCTAATTGACAAAATTTAGGCAATTGAGAGGAAAAAGCAATTGATATAATGGTTAATTTGGAATTTGGAAGAAAGAGAGGAAAAACAAGTAATTAAATGATTAATGATGGCCTGTTTTCATGCATTGTTTTGTTTGTATGTGTTAATTGAGAATATTGTTTTTTTTTTTAATGGTGATAGGTTTTTTTGAGTGTCAGTTCCATGTTTTGATCTTTTTTTTTCATGCATGATATTTTTGTTTTTTGTTAAGCTATGTTTTACTCATTTAGGTTTTGAATTATGGGTTGTTAATTTATATTAGGAATCAATTTTATGTTTGATTCTTTTTTCATGCATGTTTTGTGGGTTTTGATATGATTTTATTATGGTTTTTGACTTTGGGTTTGCTTGAGGTTTGATGCTTAAAAGGTTTTGCCTGAAAACTTACCCTCATGTTTATTAACAAATTATTTATTGAAACAGTTGGATTTACTTTGATGAATCTTATCTTTCTATGTCTTTTCAAGTTTTTACTTGGAGTTGCTTACTACTTCTCAAATGGGCCATTTCTGAGGTTTTGGATTAAAAAAGGATATGATCCTCATAAAGATCTTGATCTTTGCATGTAAAAGTTGTTCTGGCAATAATCTCCTTTACATATATGGTATGCTTTAATTGCTTGCATTAAGTTATTTGTAGGATTCTTACTTGTGCATTTTCTTTTCGTAAATATTAGAGAATTGAATTTCGTGTACCTGAACCATTGAGGAACTATACTGATGTTAACATAGTTAACAAGTAAGTTGTTACTGATGTATTAAGATACGATGAGATATGATTATCTGACAGTCATGTTGTTATATAATCCTATTTTTACATTTTTTTTACAAGCTTTATTTTTTTCAAATAAGTTTATTCTTATTATTGCCTTATGTGAACCTATCTGACATGGTGCATCTTAAAATTATTACACTAAGTAGATGAAGCTTTTTTTTTTGTTTGCTATTTAGTTGGCTACCAACACTCTAGAACGGGTGGCACCACTTACCCATACAGTTGGCAATGTGCTGAAACCTATGTTTGTCATTGGTTTCTCAATCCTAGTCTTTGGTCAGTTTATATCCTACACATTTATATTCCTTTGAAGAATTGTTTTGTTCTATGTGTCTAGACACAATTCTTTAGACCTAATATCTTACTATCTACTTTTTATAAGAAACAAGATTTCAACACATATAGGCAAAGAAATAACCATAGCAATTGCTAAAGTAGTAATGTACTCTTTTATCAAGGCCAAGATGGAATAGAAATGAGCGAGGGCTATAATTAGCATTTAATTTAAAATTGAACTAACCTAGCTATGCAAATTCTCAAGTCAACACAGATTTTTGAATGAAGGCCATAAAAATACAAAAGGTTGGGAAAATTGTAAAAAGGAAATAATGACCATAATAGAAAATATAAGGATGTAGTTGTATTTGTCCTTTTTATCACCATATAAATTGGAGAATAACATCTCATGTATAAGGAACTGTGAATCTCCCTTTATGTGGCATTGCATCAACTATATAGTTAAGATCTTTCTCCATATTTCTTTACTTCTATTTTTTTTAGACTACAAGTCAAAAAATAATATCATGCATATATGTAATATATAGGGGTGTAATCAATCGAGTTTGAGCTGATATACTATCAAGCTTAAGCTCGATACAAAATTTAAGGTTCGAAACTCAGCTCGAACTCGATCAAGTTTTATTTTTCTAGCTCGAGTTCGACTTGATATAGAAATTGAGTTACTCAAGCTTAATCGATTAGGCTCGATTAATATGTAAAAATAAGCTCGATTCTTATAATCGACAAAAGCTTGATTATTTATGCTCGAGCTTAAGCTAGAGTTCGAGATATTTTATTAATTAAAATAATAAAAATATATTTAAATATAAAAGCTCAATTAGGCTCGCAAACTACTCGAGTCGAGTATAAAAATACTCGAATTCAGCGCGATCGATGAGTTGAGCTGTTCAAGCTCGACTTAATAATAATCGAACCTAATTCGAGTTTTATTCAAACCGAATCCGAATAGTTTACGAGTATTAATATATCATTTACACCCCTAGTAATATATAACGCAAACAAAAAAAATGTAAGCCATTGAAAAAGAAAAAGAAGAAGAATAATAGTTAATGTTTTTCTTTTAAAAAATTATTTTTTAAAAAATTATCTTTTATATAGGGTTGATGGAGTTTTTAGACTTTTTCAATAGATTAATATTTTATCTCATGTCTTATTAAGATATATTTAAAATAATATAATAAATAAAAAGACATGAAATAATAATTTCATATTATTTATGAAATCTTAAAACTCTATTGATAATTCTTAATTGTTTTTCATGTATTACAAAATATAAGAATTTTGCTCTATAAGTTAACACAAATTGGGTGGCATCACTTACCCATGCAATTACCCATGAAAATCACTTCTTGAAGAAGGTGAGTTAAGTCATCGAACTGATCAAGACTCTCGAGAATGTAAGCTCTTATAAACTATTTTCCTGTTTCGGATTTAGATTAAAACTTTATTTTACTCATATTTTTGTGGGTTATCTTTTTTTTATTTCAATGAGATAGTTAGATTAGCACGATATTATATTGTTTGGCTATTTTATTTATTCATTAAGTTTGTGCCATTTATAACTAATAACATCCTTGGAACATAATTACCTTAAAAAATGAAAACTAATTTTTGCATAACCTATGTATTTTACCGATTTATGTTTATTTGTGAATTTGTTTTGAGTTTTTACGACGATAAAAATTTCATGGGTACCCAACTGGGAAAGACCTAAACAAGGGGGTCTCGCTGGCTGGCACGCCTTGTTGTGACAGCGCGTACGTCCACTACTCTACAGGAGTGTCAACTGTCAACAGACACCGATTGACGTATGGTCTCATAGTGTCATGACTGAATCTTTTAGCTGTATTCGTCCCTAGTCTGTGAATACTTTTAGAGGACAGATGGCTTTAAATTTTATGAACTTAACAAAGCAAAAATGGATGATGTGGAATAATCAATCTGACATGCTTACAATTAATATTAGGTACATTGATTTTTGAAATAAGGTTATGATTATTATTTTTATTTCGGTTTAACTTTTTTTTTTTTCATCTTTGGAGTTATAGGAGTTATGGTTGAAGTTGGAACTCAGTACTACTGAAACTGCAAGATCATTTTTATTTTGAGAATAAGAAAGAAAAACCTTGAAACATGAAAAACCTTAAGGAATCCTGCCAGAGTGAAAATTTAACTTCCATACAGGCTTCGAAACATCTTCATCATACGACTTCACAAGTAGACGAGCTTCTCTATAAGACTTTAAACAGCTTAGCTGGTCATTTGAGAGATTAGAAACCACCTACTCTGGGAGTGGGATGTCGGCTAAATCTTGTCTGTAAGGAATATTGTCAGCCTCGAAGGACTTGTCAGGGTTACCTAGCCCACTTTCCAATCGAGCTTGGGCAGCTGGATCATTATTTTCGGGCTCGATATATGTTACAACAGTGTCCTTTCGGAAGGTTAAATATATGATTGACAGGATGTAGATTGCCATTAGAGGAAATACGATGATACCTATTAATACTTTACCGACTTTTGGAAAATCATTGTGAATCAACCAACCTACAAAGGCTGTGATTAGGTAATAGATGTTGATGCCAATGATTCCAAGGCCTAAAATCCATGAAATCACAATGATCTGCGAAGCAAAGATTTGATCAGCTAAAATATACGTAAGAACATGACAGATCAGAAAAAGAAATTAAAGAAGACATAAAAGGTCCTGCTCTGCCACTCACAAATATGGAATTCTTGTATGGTCCCATCTTGGTTGAGCTGCTACTGAATTTAAGAAGTGGGATCATAGCAAATGGTAGCTCAAACGAAAGAATCATCTGCAAAATCCATATAAAAATTAAAATTGGTTTAGCTTAAAACATGGATTATTACATGAACATATATTGATTAATCGATCTTAGACATTTTCTGACCGACGCAATGATGATTAGTCTTCCAGCACTTTGAGATCCACCAATGATGGACACTATAAGACTAGGTGTAATAGCAATGCACCTAGTCATCAAATTCCTCATCCATTTCTTCATTTTAAGATCCAAGAAACCCTGGAAGAATCATAAATAACAAAGATTTAAGTGTCATTAAATTAATAGCATAAAATTTGAGGATTAATCTGCAAGACCTGCATGATAAATTGTCCTGCATAAGTGCCTGTAATGGTAGAGCATTGCCCCGAGGCAAGAAGTGCGATGCCATAAAGGGTTGAGCTAGACTTTCCCAACACATTCTGCAATGACAAAAAATCATAGAATTTAGTTTTTGTTAATTTGGATTATTAGCCTCCTAATTGTACTTTTTCCATAATGAATTTTAGCGTGTTTGTAATTTTGGACCTGAAGTAAGAAAGAAGCAGAATTGAGGTTAACATTGTTACAACGATCCTGGTTATCACTCGAAAGGTTATCGGCTGCGCAGACGGTGCCCGACACTGAAACAATCGCTACGTTGATCAAAAACGCCACAAATAAGGCGAGACCACTCTCCATCAGGAAAAATCTGCAGGCAGCCTGACCAAATTAAAGACAATAACAAAGGAAAATTAGCACATGATCAAACCAAAAATAGAGCACTATACGAACATCATGCTAATTATTTTCCCAAATTATAAATAACATCATTTTTACTTAAATTTTTAATTGCTACCCAAATTTAAAATGTTCAGTTTTATTTTTCAAGTCAGAGTGTTGAAAAACATACAATATTTATTACTTTTATTTCAATATTTATTGGAAAGTGATGCCTCAACTCTCACTTTTGTTAAACGATAAATTAAAGTCTCATATCAAGCAGTACTAATGTTACATGTGCCAAGAATTTGTTTATATTGGCTTACATTGATGCCTCGAACAGAGTTGGGTACTTTTCTGGAGAGCACAAGAGCAGAGTGTAGAAAGAGATTGTGCCTGTTGAAAGAATTCTGGAGTAAGAATTACGAAGTATTATAAGATTTAAGTACATTCTTTAAGGTATTGTATGAGTACGTTGTCCATGAAAAAATTTTCCGAAATTCATTTTCGGGAATGGGAAATTGGGTTTTCCATTGAGTTTGAAAAAATTTTCTTGAATTCATTCTTTTTAAAATGAAAAATCGAATTTTTCTAAGTTACAATGAAAATGAGTATTCATAAAGCATTTGTTTTTCTTTTCAAAATCAGACTATGTTCGGACAAAAATAGTCGGTACGTTTAACATTGTCTTTTTTTCCTTGTTATATATAGAATAGAAAAAAGTGATAGATCATAACGGCATAATAAGGGAGCCCAAGAGGGCAATGGCATCCGCAGTGGCTCCTTGGCCGGCAAGTTTAGGGACAAACATGCCCTTAAGCACACCAGATGCCGGAGGTTTTACATAACTCATTTCGCCAAAGAAACATCCAGCCATTACAAGTACCAACACTGCTATTAACAATTCGAGCTTTCTTGCCTGATTAACCAAAAAATCAAGAAAAAAACAAAGTCAGAGAGGATAATCAAAATTTTAAGACAAAATCCTTTGATAATTATATATTTTGTCAATTCCGTAATCAAAGTAAATTACAACATGATGTCATCCTCTGCTACTCCTCTTGTTGAATAAAAAATGAAAAAAAAAAAAAAGAAAAACCTACACCACACAGAATTGTAAATATATATTTAATAATTAATCATGACAACATCTTCATTAAAAATATTATGACAACATATCAGCAGGTGCAAGTTGACGAAGTATCCAAAAAAAAAGGAAAGTTGACTGGTGCACGAAAGGGTAAAAATTAATAAGTTTTTTTCAATAAAAATCCAAAATTGAAAAAAAAAACTTGTACTTTTTAGTACTTTTCATGGATTAGACCTTGGAATGAAAACAGACAAAAGTTTCCTCATGTAATCTTACGTTATATAATTAATGAAAACAGGCAAGTTGAAATTAATATATACAATAATTTCATTAAATTTATTTTTTATTTGTGCTTAATTCAACTCACGTTCTGGAAAGTAGAATAATAAACAGTGTAGAGTACTTAATTAATTATATAGTAAATGTTTACCTTATCTTCATAAGGAAAAATAAATAAATAAATCCGGGTTTTAACTACATTATTATGTCATATAGATGGAAACAAACAGTTACTTTTGTCCTTGAAATGAAATTTTAATGTTTTAATGTTCCAAATTGAATGTTCATACAAATAAATTACCCCATATCTTTGCAGGCCAAGGAGAAGGAGAGTGCTTAAACCAGTGCAGAGAACTCCAACCCACACAGGGATGTGAAACAGAATATTTAGTGCAAAGGCTGTCCCAATAACTGCCACAAAAAAATGCATCAAAACAACGGTTAAATATGTATATATAATTATATATATATAAGTATAGATGTTTATTTGATCAGTTCGATTATTTTTGAACTAAATTATCTAAAATCGAATTATAACTGTAATAAATAAATGCATCAAAATAATAGTTAAACATGGATATAGAGTTATATATAATTCTATATCCATGTTTAACTATTATTTTGATGCATATATATATATATATATGTATACTATAAAATTGCCTGATTCTTTGTTTTGATTTTGAACTAATTTCATTTAATTTTTATGAATAAAACAATTCTGGTTGATTTATTTGCTTTAAACTCCAGACATTACACATGCAGACTTATTTTTTTATAAAGGAAGGTTGTAGTTTAGGGAAAGCAGAAGTGATTGCAAGTTTTAAGATATGACTTTTAGACATATTAGATGTCATATCTTAAAGATACAGAATAAGTCAATTAAATTAAATTATGAATTTATTTGTAGTCTTATTTGTATGTTGCGAAACTTAAATTAGTGAACAATTGGGTAACTGAAACAATAAGAAACCTTCAGGTATATCAGCAGCTATGACAGCAATTTCTGCAAGTATCCATAGGCAATATTTCACAAAATTTGGGTACTCAGCCTTGCACAATTCTGATAAGTGCTTGCCTGAAAGAAAGAAGTAACTCAAAATTACAAGTTAATTAATTAGTTAATCCTAATTAATTATATCAGAAATGAAGTTGATTCATTATTAGTATGAGATATAATTAATTACCAGTGCTGACCCCAAGATTAGCTGCAAGAGACTGGATTATGAGAGCAAAGACTAATCCAATTAACACCACCCACAGCAGCTGAAAATTGCAATATATATAACAGCAAAATCAGCACATTCTTGTATTGGTAATCGAGGGTACCAGAATTTGAATTCTGATCACTTGAATTAAGAATCCATTACCATACGACTGTTGGCAAAATTGGCATATTCTTGCATTCAATTACTTGTCCAAATTAAGAAGTTTATAAGGCTTTCTAATGTTTTTATTCTCTTGAATTTACCTCATATCCATCGTTGGCTCCTGCTTGCAAATCAGTTTCCACTGTGACATGACACCAATCAGATGATGATCATAAGTTGCAAACATTGAAAATGATTGATGGAGGGAGGGATCTGAGAGGTGACTTACTGTTGCCAGGATCAAGATAAGCTATTGAGACAAGGAAACCAGGGCCTACAAATGACAAAAACTTTCTCCATCCAGGTTTCTAAACATCAAAAAAGACCAATCACAAACCATATACACAAGCTATATATAAATCAATGAAATTAAGTAGCAAGTGTATCAAATTCTGAAAAGAAACCAGACCAGACCTGATCATGTTTTGGGTCATCATGATCAAAATGTTTGCTGTTGTTACCAGAGTAGGATTGCGGGGTGGTTCCCTCCACATTGATAGCAGCTATGCGGTTGCTTCCACTACCCCATGATTGAGGAAGTGCAATATCACTTCCTTGCTGTTGCTGCTGCTGCTGTTGCAAACTTTCCATCTCTCCCACTTTAAATCTTTAACTTACTAGCTATATCTCAATATCTATATTATCTTCACAAAACTTTGAAGAATTATATTGACACACATATCGAAGTAACTGAAACTGTATTTATAGTACCGAATGAAGAATCCGTCTAAACATTTGGCTTAAAAAGGACAGCTTAGCAGTCCACATATATTTTTTAATTTCCTTTCTTCTCTCCCAAACGGTGCCGCATGCCTGACATGTCACTGTCTTGCCCTTTGTAAAGAATGACTTCTCCCAATAAAAGATTAACAGGGAAGAGGGTAACTCTATCTATATCTAGCAAAGCATGAAAAACCTAAATTGGAAGCCTCTAACTTATCTAAATAAAAGAGATACTTGAGTGGCCTAGAATGATAGGCAAATAAATATAATAGTATTGATTTTCAATTTTTCACCTATTAGCTATAAACTTTATAATTTGATGCTTGCATTCTTATGAGCTAAATTATTTAATTCTTTTATGAAATTATAGTAGAAATTATAATTATAATCACAAATTACATTTCATATAAAAATCAATGAAATAAATTAAATATGCATTGACCAACAAAATCTAAATATAGCAATTGTCTTCTTATGTCACAACAAACATCCTAATTAAGGTTAAGGTTATTATTATTATTATTATTATTATTATTATTATTATTATTATTATATTGTAATAAGGTACAATTATTACTTCTATATACAGGCAACAAAGTTAGTGATTAAATTTTTTACAAACTTCACTGATAATTAATGTATAAAGCAACAATATTTAAAGTTGTAATCTTAGGTATAACCACAAGTATTTAAAATTACACGAGACAAAGGGGTTAGAAATGTGATCATAAAACAACTTTTTAATTATATTTTCTTTTTCGTGGTCAATTGTTATGAACCAGACTAATTTTTTTCTCATTGTAATTGCGAATTAATGTATAAGTGGCATTGCATATATTGCTTTTCAAGGTTCAAATTAATGTTTCAACAAAAGGAAAGGCCGAAAGAGAAAGGAAAAAAAGACCAAATGAGAAAGAAATTATTTAATCTCATTAACCTCTAAAACAAAATCTGACCTTTAACACTTGAAGCCATTTGTTTGGAAGGTAATGATAGGATCACCACAGCTAGCTTCAAGCACCAATTTTATTTAAATCTCACATGTTGTTGTCAATTAAGTCAGTTGATTTGACCCTTAGTTGAGAAAATTATTAGCTAAATTTGCTGTGATCACCAAATAAGAACAACCACCATATTCAGAATTTTTTACTGGTGACATGAGCCATGCCATCTTCTTTTTCTATACAAAGCAGATGAGATTCACGCCACTCAAATCAATTAATCAAGTTTTTTTTTTTTATACCATTTACAAATTATTTTTTTGAAGTGTGAAAAGAATGGCAGAATGATGCATGGCATATTCTAGTTGCAACTTCTCTGGGCCACCACCTCATAATCTTAATTAATTTCTTTTTGATCTTTAACAAGGAAAAGGCTCTCAAAAATGTTTGGAAACGTAAACCGAAATTAAACATTGGAGGACACACCTCTTGTAATCTTTGTTCATGCACATGGATGGTCAATTGGATTTGGTAAAAGTTATATTTAGTATATTCTTATGATCTTTCTTAGCACATATGAGCAGTTTAAAAGAAGGCGGATTCGAAAATTTTGAATCTTTTAAATGATATTATAACAATTATTAGATTAAGTTTAGGTTAATTATTTTTGTATTTGATTCGATATTTAATTGAATACACATGAATTTCTTCTCGTCAAAAGAAAAATCAAAGATTTTCATAAAACAGGAAATATATATAGACAAGAAAAATGAACTTTGCTAGTGATCAATTGTCACACAATAAGAAGAAAGATTATTTTTGAAATTTATTTTTAATTTGATTCCAACATTTAGTTTATTGTATCTAATTCTCATGGGTATTCTAAAATTTCTAATAATGCCCAAGTATCCCAAAATTAGAAACTCATATTTCATTGTAGTTTTTAAAAATTTCAAGAGGAAAGTTAATTTTGTCATATAACTTCAATAATAATTTTTTCTAATTATTTTACTCTTGAAAATCAATATCTAGAGACCCATTATGATAAGGAAATGGGCATTCATAGCCACAAGAATGAATAAAAGTGCAATCCTTATCACTTGGTTGGATACTTGGTACACAATTAGACACGTAGTATATTATATATAATAAAAATAACATGTTTAAAAGAACAAACATAATAGATAACTATAATTTTATAGTTTTGAATTTTCAATACTTTTCAATACTTTTCAATGAAAGAAAAAAGTAAACATAGTGGTTAGTTTCATTTAATTGAAAAAATTAAATCTCATGTCATAAACATAAAGAGAAATTAATGTAGAAAATGACCACTTTTAAATGGGATAAAAAGAAAAAAGTAAAGTAAGATAATGTTTATTCTTTTATAAACGTAATGATTGTAAATTTTTTTAATCAAAGATTATGATTTTACTTTTATGAACTTAGTGATTGCATAAATGTAATGATTATAATTTTTTTAATAAAAAATTATGTTTTTACTTTTTATAAACATAATGATTGTAAAAAATTTTTTCAATCAAAAACTATGTTTCTACTTTCATAAACATAATGTCTCTTTTCATAGAAATGTAGTATTTATTATAAATACTATGTCTATATCCAATAAAATATAGTCTTTACTTATTAAAATGTTGTCTTTGACTTATATTTTTATCAAACACTGCATTTAGATTTTTTTTTTAAAAATTGTAATCTTTGATTTTATTTATATAATTTTTATTCATAATAAATCATCTTATTTTTAAATTTATAAAAATGAAAACATTTTTTATTTTGGTTATTTAATGATGGTCACATTTTAATTTTAATAATATAATTGGTAGTTGAAATGTTAGTCATGTGTTATTTACATGTAATTAAAGTCATTATAGTAAAAAATTTTTATTACGTAATCTAACTTTTCTTTGAATCAAACACAATAATCTAATATTTTCATAATACGAAGAATAAGCTATTGCCAAGAATCCATACTTGCTCGAGATTATTTTTCTTCTTAAAATTTAAGATTGTGTGAATCAAACGTTCTCTAAGTATAAAATTAAGATAAGAAGCCTTAAATTTTTAAACACAAATTTAGCATTATTCTTGGAAAGAGAATCACTCTAGACCCAATATTTTGATTCATAAGTCATTTGACTACACACACGCACATACTCACACACATATATATATATATATATTATTTTTTAGCACGTAATATATATTTAATTGTTAATGAAATTATAAAATATATTGAATTAATGTTAATATTTTAATGACAAATTAAAATTATGTTTGGTGCAAATATGATAGATAGGATAAAATAATAATTATCTAATATCATATTTTGATTTATCTCTAAAAAAATGATATGATTGGATGATTAATCCTTCCAAAACAGAGAGAATTATTTTTAATCAATGAGATTAAATTTGCATATCTTATTATATTTTTAAAAATTACATCAATAATTTAAATTTTATAAAATTTGAAGAATGATAATTTTAACCAATAAACAAAATTATTCTATTCTATTCCTTTTACAAATCAAACACAATAAAAAATAATATTATTTAATTTAATTCTATTTATAGTATAATCTTATCTTATCATAATTTCATGTATCAAACATACCATAAATTACAAGGCTCCCAAAAAATATATATATATATATATATATTTGAAAGACCTTTCTAGCAGTTTTAATTTTCTAATTTTTCTCAATCCATTTGGAGAAAAAAGAAAGGTTTGTATAGAGGCATTAAATAAGACCAATTCTAAAGTCAACATTAAGTCCTTTACAGGACTCTTCTCCCTCTGATTTATCCAATCTATCAGTTTTTTCCAAGAATATGGTCTAATGTTAAAAAAAAAAAAAAAAAGAAAACAGAAAAATTACTAACATGTTTTCATCCGTATTTAATATGTCACAGTCGGCTGCCTAACTAACAATTCAGGGCAGGTCTGGCTAACTACTGATCTCACAAATGTTAATAAGCAGGAAATAAAATTCTAATTCTGAATTTTTAATGACTAGTTAAGCAAAATTTAAAGTATCCAGTTAAAATTAAATAATCATTCAAACTTTTATTATTTTAGTATAATTAATTAAACTCTCAAATATTTAATTTTACCTAATTGGACTTTTATTGGACAAAATTGGTTAATCGTCATCATTAATTTTCATCTAATTGAGAGTTTAATTATGTAAAAATAAATATTTAAAGGCTCATTTAATTGAAAATAAATATTTAAAAATTCAATTAATTGCAATAAAATGATAGAGATTTAATGATTATTTAATTTTAGTTTAGAAACTTTTTAATATTTAAGCCAAATTAAAATGAGGTTATTGTAGAATAAAAATTGATTGAACGTATTAATTTTTTCTTTTCATTCATCAAATCATGAGTTTGGATTCACAAGCAAGGGCATAACAAGCAGATATGTATATCATTAACTTAATTTATCTTGATAATTTAGACTCAATTTGAAATGGTTACTATTCAATTCCAAAACTAGTAGGGTTCACTAAATAAAATCAATTTTCCTTCATTTCTTTATGTTAACTAGACAAAGTGTTTGTTAGAACGTGTACATGTAAATTTGTATTCAATTCAAACACCTCTAAAATCCGCAATTTAGTTGCAAATATTTGTAAAAGATGGTTAATGATAAACCAAATCTCTGTCACCTTCCTCTCTCTCCTCTCTATTTGGAGCTAAAGATGGTTTTTCTATGATTGCATGAATATGATAATGGTTTCGGTTAGCGGTTCAAATCAACCAAACCCAAAACGGTGTGCGTCCCATGCTGTCCTCTCCCAACGAACGTGATTGCAGTCGTTACACAAAACAAAAATCTGGGCTGCCTTGTTTACCTTGATATACAAAAACAATAAGTTAATCATTGTTGGTTAATCTAAACCAAACCCCCTTGATTTTTGCTGTCGTTACACAAAACAAAAAAATCTGGGCTGCCTTGTTTACTTTGATATACAAAAACAATAAGTTAATCATTGTTGGTTAATCTAAAACCAAACCCCCTTGATTTTTACAATTCCATCGACTCCCACATTTGGTCTTTTTGGCTTCACCGCAATGATATCATTTTCAATGGAAAAGCTACGCAGTTCATCCCTACACAATTCGTCCTTACGTAGTTCGTTGATATTATTAAAGTGCGCCTTGCTTTTCCAAATAATAATAATAATAATAATAACAATAAGAAGAAGAAGAAGAAGGAAAAGAGATATGAATCATATCCAAATTTAATAGGAAATCTAATTTTTCTCTGAAGATAAAGATAAGTATTAAATTTTGAAATGGAAATGAATATAATTTTAAATTTTTTATTAGATACAGAGATAAATAATATAGCACATATTGAGCACCTGTATCTATGGATGGATTTACCCT